GGGGCCTATACACAAACACAACATCTCCCCCTCGAGACAACAGTCGTGAAACCGCCAAAAACACAACACTGCACGACGTTGTCTCACTCCTCATACGAGGTCGCACCCCAACGAACGAACAATCGATCGGGGCTGGCACACACGACTGCTGCGACCCATGGCGGCGGGCGCTTGTTCCGGCGTCCGCAGCGGGCGCGCCCGTTGTCGCCCGGGAGGTCACCGGTAGGCGGCGCTCCGGTGTCGGGTGGCGGCCACGGATCACAGCCAGCGGCGTCTCCGGCCATCCCCTGAACCGGGCCCACGAGCGGCGCCAGACACGCGTCATCCTCAGCACAGTCGGTCTGTCCCATGTCCGCCTGCGGCGGCGACACGGCGTCACTGACGACCTCTTCGCTGTCCCTGCTTTGCGTCGGCGGGCCTCCCACCAGCGGCGGCGAGGCTCTGTAGGCGTCATCAGTCTCACCGGGTACGGTGGGCTGTATCACGGAACAGTCGGTTTGGCCGGTGTCCGCCGGCGGCGGTGACACGGCGGGGCCGGCAGCTGCACCTGGGCCCGTGCTCAGCGTTTGTAGGCCTCCCGCCGGCGGCGGCGAGGCCCCGTGGGTGTCGGCTGGCCCGCTAGACTGCCCTGCGGTGGGCTCAATCTGGCCGGTGTCCGCCGGCGGCGACGACACGGCGGGGCCGGCCGCTGCACCTTGGCCCATGCTCGGCGTTGGGATGCCTCCCACCGGCGGCGGCGAGGCTCCGTAGGCTTCAGCGGCTCCGGCCGGGCCTGCGGGCTGCGCCGCAGTACCCCCGGGTTGGTCCGTGTCCGCCGGCGGCGGCAACACGGCGTCACCAGCGGTTTTGTTTCCGTCGCCGGTCCGCGTTTGTAGACCTCCCGCCGGCGGCGGCGAGGCTCTGTACGCTCCAGTAGCTCCGTCCGGCTCCGTAGACAGCGCCGCGGTACGCCCGACTCGGCCCGTGTCCGCCGGCGGCTGTGACACGGCGTTGTCAGCGGTTCCGTGGGCGTCCGTGGGCGTCAGCCGGCTTTGTAGACTGCGCCGCGGTACACCCAGCTCGGTCCGTGTCCGCCTGCGGCGGTGACACGGCGTTATCAGGGGCTGCCTCTCGGTCCGTGGTCTGCGCCGGCCAGCCTCCCGCCGGCGGCGGGCAGGCTCCGCGCGCGCCAGCCGGCTCGGTGGGCTGCGCCGCGGTACGGCCGGCTCCTCGGCCCGTGTCTGCCGGCGGCAACGACACGGCGGCGCCGGCGGCTACCGATGGGCCTCCCGCCGGCGGCGGCGAGGCTCGGTACACTCGGTCCGTGCTCCAAGTTGGGATGCCTCCGGCCGGCGGCGGTGAGGCTCCGTAGGATGCGGTAGCTCCGACCGGCTCAGTCGGCTGCGCTGCAGTACTGCCGGTGCGGCCCGTGTCCGCCCGCGGCGATGACACGGCGTTGTCAGGGGCTGCCTCGCCGTCCATGGTCTGCGCTGGCCAGCCTCCCGCCGGCGGCGGGCAGGCTCCGTGGACGTCAGCAGCGTCACTCAGCTCGGCTGGCTGAAGCGCAGTGTGCCCGGCTTCGCCCGTGTCCGCCGGCGGCGGCAACACGGCGGTGCCGGCGGCTACCGTTACTGGCGCCACCACCGGTGAGTCGCGTACTTTCGTCGCTGCAGATGTCGCCACGGGACGATCAGCCGTCGGGCGGGTGCCGCTACTGCTGAGGTGTCCGTTCTTCACTCGCTGTGCGTCCCGCTCGTGCTGCTCTCGCTGGCCACTGCGAGCTGGTGAACCACGGGCAGGGTCTCCAGGCACTGCAGCACCGTCAGCAGCGGTGACGCGGCCCCCGGCGACCGCCGTGGAGCTCCTCTGGTGGCACACAATCTCAAAATGCCCCGGTTCGCCACACGCACGACAGATGGCGCCAGCGGCGCGACACGTGACTCCGCCGGCGTGCTGGCGACGGCCACAGGTAGGGCAACGCTCAAGAAACTGATGATCTGTGGCGGTAGCGGAATGGGCGACACTCGGCCGCCTGCGCCTCTTGTAGGCCGGCAGGCGCGCCGCGGAATGTCCCTCGTTGCCGCGGAGGTCTGGGCACGTGACACGGGCACCATCGCTAGCCCGACAAACGTTCACGGCGTATTTGAGCGTCAGCTCAAAGTCCTCCAGCCTGCGGCTCACCGCTCCTAAATCACTGTCGTGAACACTGCACTCGTCACGGCCGTTGCACGTCGATGCCGACTTCGGTTGCGCGGGCGGGGTCGCCGACACCGGCAGGCAGACAGTCCGGCGGGCGGCGGCAGCTGGTCCAACGGATCCATCAGCGCCTCGCTCAGCCCCCGACTCTGACACTCCGGTCGTCGCGTCCGTCCCCGCGGAGGGCTCCCTGGTTAGCAGTCTCTCCAAGCGCTCCAGGCGCTTGTCGGCGTCGGCGGCTCTCTTCACTTGCCTCTCCAGCAGTGCCGTCAGTTCTTGAATGATAGTCATCGCGGTATGCTCAATCACGTAGTAATTCACAAAACCGACCGCGCCATGTTTAGTTGTCGTTTATCGGTTCGAAGTGAAAGAGCTTATGAATATCAACGCGATTTATTTTAGACCGGTGCGAATGGGCCGAGAGAGAGATCGAAACGTAAACAAGTATGGCGAGCGCCAGCCCACGTCCCGTGCGCCAGTCACGCCGCTTGGCGCGCACGGTCAGCTGGCGCCGGCAGGGGCGCTCACAGGCACCTGGCCCAGTGGGGTCGCAGAGGCGGTCCAAGTAGGGGGCCTCGGGGGGCCTATACACAAACACAACAGAGGCCGGTTTTGACAAAAAAAAACATGAAAATCATGCTTTTTCAGACACCCCAAACATTTGCATGACTGGCCATATTGCGATTTATTCGATTAGGTGAACTTGAAAGGTGGCCTTTTCGGTATTTATGGCCACTCGTGAGCCCCATTTGCATCACTGTGCCATCGCCCGTAGGCACCTTATTGGCATTGATCTAATAGTGTGAGATATGATGACAGACTTTCTATCCGACACATTGTGATGTCCGAGACTGAAAGCTGAGCGGCTGATGCTTCTGGGCCTGCAGTGTCCCAGCCTTCTCTTCCACTAGTTCAAAATGTCCAGCGGCGGCTTCATGCAGGATTGCCTTTGGGCTGAGCGAAACCCATGACATGTCCGTGTGCCTGCAGCCACCATGGTCGCCCTGCCTCTGACTGATATGTGCGCCGGCAGCCACCATGGTCGCCCTGCCTCTGACTAATATGTGCGCCGGCAGCCACCATGGTCGCCCTGCCTCTGACTAATATGTGCGCCGGCAGCCACCATGGTCGCCCTGCCTCTGACTGTATGTGTGCCGGCAGCCACCATTGTCGCCCTGCCTCTGACTAATATGTGCGCCGGCAGCCACCATGGGCGCCCTGCCTCTGACTGTATGTGTGCCGGCAGCCACCATGGGCGCCCTGCCTCTGACTGTATGTGCGCCGGCAGCCACCATGGGCGCCCTGCCTCTGACTGATATGTGCGCCGGCAGCCACCATGGTCGCCCTGCCTCTGACTAATATGTGCGCCGGCAGCCACCATGGTCGCCCTGCCTCTGACTGTATGTGTGCCGGCAGCCACCATTGTCGCCCTGCCTCTGACTAATATGTGCGCCGGCAGCCAGCATGGGCGCCCTGCCTCTGACTGTATGTGCGCCGGCAGCCACCATTGTCGCCCTGCCTCTGACTGATATGTGCGCCGGCAGCCACCATGGTCGCCCTGCCTCTGACTAATATGTGCGCCGGCAGCCACCATGGTCGCCCTGCCTCTGACTGTATGTGCGCCGGCAGCCACCATGGTCGCCCTGCCTCTGACTGTATGTGTGCCGGCAGCCACCATGGTCGCCCTGCCTCTGACTGTATGTGTGCCGGCAGCCACCATGGTCGCCCTGCCTCTGACTGTATGTGTGCCGGCAGCCACCATGGTCGCCCTGCCTCTGACTGTATGTGTGCCGGCAGCCACCATGGTCGCCCTGCCTCTGACTGTATGTGCGCCGGCAGCCACCATTGTCGCCCTGCCTCTGACTGATATGCGCCGGCAGCCACCATGGGCGCCCTGCCTCTGACTGTATAGGGTGAGCCATAAAGATTTACCCATCGAAAATTTCACTTTATTTCCAAACGGGTTGGCGTAGGTATGCCATCTTTTGCATATATGTCGCAAATTTGTCTCCAATCCTGACAGTGTAGCTCATTTTGTATATGCTCGTCCACTGTCTCTGCTACGCGCCTGAAATGCGAGGTCGTCTTAACGCACATCCGCCGCTCCTGAAACTCAGGAATCACCACTGGGTGTTGGCTGCTGAACACTCCTTGGTCTAAAGAATGCTGGGCACAATTTATCCCCGACTTCAGCCCCACGGGCTTCGCAAACTGAAATATCCTGAAAACCCTACTCTACCTAGTCCCTGAAACACGGCAAATGACATACGGCACAGCCTTGTTATAGCGTGGGTGATCGGGGAAAATAATTGAAACGACGGTGCGGGGGCCGCGTGCCATAGTGCTCTCGCGTCTCGGGCGCGTAACATACGAAGAATGCGAGCATACAGAAAACAGACTACATTTATTAGTTAGGAGATTAAGTTATATGGATGTAAAAGATGACATAGCTATGTCAGCGCGCCTTGAAACAAAGGGAAATTTTCGATGGGTAAATCTTTGTGGCTCACCCTGTATGTGCGCCGGCAGCCACCATGGTCGCCCTGCCTCTGACTGTATGTGCGCCGGCAGCCACCATGGTCGCCCTGCCTCTGACTGTATGTGCGCCGGCAGCCACCATGGGCGCCCTGCCTCTGACTGTATGTGCGCCGGCAGCCACCATGGGCGCCCTGCCTCTGACTGTATGTGTGCCGGCAGCCACCATTGTCGCCCTGCCTCTGACTAATATGTGCGCCGGCAGCCACCATGGGCGCCCTGCCTCTGACTGATATGTGCGCCGGCAGCCACCATGGTCGCCCTGCCTCTGACTGTATGTGTGCCGGCAGCCACCATGGGCGCAGTGCCGCTCAAGTGGCTGACGCTGCTGGTGATCACGGTGCAGACGACGGCCCTGGTGCTGGTGATGCGCTACTCGCGGGCCAACGCGTCCGGCCGGCCGTACTTTGCCAGCACGGCGGTGCTGCTCACCGAGGCGGCCAAGATGACCGCCGTGCTGCTCACGCTCTGGCTGGAGAACGGTAGGTGAACCTCACTCATGCCATTCCGATGCATATACTCACAATTAAAATCACCTACCCGCTACATTAAAACTCATAAGTTGCAACTGTGCACATCGCACTGCGCCATAAGCTCCCGTTTTGGAGACACCTGCTAGCCGAATACCTATGAGGAAAGGTGTTTAATGCACCTTCGGAGGTCACTGGTTCAACCTTGTGCGTAAATACTAAATACCAGAGCTGGGCAAGTGCGTTCCTTTAGTGCGTTCCTGCGTTCTTCCGTACGTATGCACCGCCCTTTTTAGGAACGCAAGAACGCAGGAACGCAAAGTTTTTCAAAGGAACGCAAGTAAGAGGAACGCACCACCCGAAATTTTGAAGCGTTCCTGCGTTCTTGCGAACCACCCGAAAATTATATTGCTGCCAATGACCTCTGTGTCAAATGTTTGAATCTCGAGTACGTGTGTTTGCCGGTAGAGGCGCCACTTGTCGGTCGAATCGAGGAAGGCTTGCTTAGATTTAGTGGTGATGTTTACTATTCGATTCGGTTTCAGGCATTAAATGTGTAAAGATTTTTAGGGGTGATGTTTACTATTCGATTCAGTTTCAGGCATTAAATGTGTAAAGTAAATATGATAACTTTTACTAAGATACATCTTTTAACTTGTTTTTAAAGGGACCCTCCCACCTTCAAAAAAGTTTATGAATTTTATTTTAGAAGTGCGGCGTTTGCGGCAGATGTTGCGCGCAAATAGCATATACCACCGCGTGCTACAAAACGTTTTAGTCAAACATTTAAAAATCGTAAAAAACGTTAGATATTTGCGCTGACGTCACACATTCAGAGGGGTATTCCTTAGCATTAGCCCCTCTGAATCAAAATGCTGCAATTTTGAAATTCAATATCTCCGATTTAAGGCATTTCTCGATGTTGTGAGTGCCGAAACCGGTAATTGTGAGCCAGGGACCCCATTTTGGCTATCTCAACTCAAATCTAATGTTAACCCTCGCATGTGTGCGGCGTTTTCCAGCTTCTAATGTGTAGGGGGGGGGTCGGTTGGACCCCCCCCTTGCCGTTTGGCCCCTGATCGAGCTAGAGCTTCGCGGAAAAAACGAGCGTGTTGCCCGTGACGAGAGGAAGCCGATGATACCCAATTTTAAGGTCCTAGGTCATTGGTTGACCTTCCAGGTCAGGTCAATGACCCAAAGTCGTGAAAATCGGGACCTGTTAGAAAGTCGTAAAGTGTGGCTGCTAAGGGGTTTTTCGGGGTGCTGATCACGAATATCGTGTTAGTTTTGATCACAGATGATGTCTTGAAGCATTTAGACCAGGTCGGGTCAGGTCAGGTCAGGTCAACCAGTAGGCGTCGTGACGGGTATTCGTAGTACGTGTCAACCGCCTCTGACAGCTTCGTAACATGTTACGAAGTCACCAAAACTACTTCGTAAATGTTCAAATGGTTGCTAAATTCGAATTCAGCTCCAAAAACTAGCCTAGAAACATGTAAAACTCGAAAAAGTGACCCGAGGTCACTCGAGGTCACCAAAGGTCAATGACCTGACCTGACCTTCAGGTGACCTTGACACACACGGGAGTAACATCAAATCACATGTTTGAACGTTTGAAACCACGAAAAGCTTGCAAACACGCGGCTAGTGCGAGCCGACATACGCGAAATCGCGATTCCGGCCAAACATGGTCTCGGAAAAGAGGTCACAGGTCAAAGGTCATTTGGGTCAGGGTCATGAAATTTTCAGGGTAGGTGTAAAATTGATCAATGCGAGGGTACTGAAAGTTTCGTCGCGATCGGCCGCTTTTTACGCGAGTTATTCGCGAAAAACCATGGGGGGGGTCCATCCGACCCCCCCCCTACACATGCGAGGGTTAAGGTGGGAGGGTCCCTTTAACCCTATTAGTGGCAGGCTCCTGGCTACCCCTATTAGTGGCAGGGGGAGGGGCTGTTTACGACCCCCCCTTGATATCTCGAGATCTAACGGGCCGATTTTCAAAATTCAAACGGCATTCGATTTCGCTCAACGTGATCTACATTTCTAAAAAATAAATATTAAAAAATGTCAATAGGGGGGGTAGAGGGGGGTAAAAACGGGCAAATTGCAGATACATTTTAGACTGTTTATCACGGCCAGGTTTCTGAACCAATCTTAACGCAACTTTTGCCGATCGATAGAGAATGAACCAGGAATTCACATGGATCCTAAAAATATGCATTTTCAAAAATCATAGGCGGATACAGATCATTGAGATTGGGGGTACACAAAAAGTATAGTAAATAAGGTTTTTGTTGGTACTGTTTCTAAAAAGGGTGGTAATGGTCTTGTTATGTTACAATTTTCTTATGAGAGAACGACTACAATTGTATTGGTGATGCATAGGCGGTGTCAGGGCACCTATGTTGGGAGGTAAAACATAACCCCCCTTTTTGGACGCCTAGATCCGCCTATTATAGCAAAAACGTGTCAAAAGAGGATGCACAATAACTGTATATGTTATCACATGATACCTTTCATTCACTGTTCGTAAAACTGGTGCAGCATCGTGATCTTCGCCCAAATGACTCGCTTCACGAATAGGACCCCCCAATTCCCAGTGCTCTGGAGCCGCCCCTGGTAAAGTTATGAACTTGAAATTTTCAGGGAATGTGCCCAATTTAGTTTTAGGAAAAGTCAGAAAATTTCAGCATCGTAGCTTCAGCGGTTTCGGAGATATTCCCGAAAAACCTGAGGGGTGGATAAAAACAACCCCCCCCCCCTGCCACTAATAGGGTTAAGCAGGTCGTATTTTTGTTGAAAACCCTACGGATGATATTGGTAAAACGTATTTCAGATATTCGATTCGGAAGAGAGATGTCGAGTTGCTTTTCGGTCCCACGTCGCCATTCTGGGTATTCTGTGATCGATTCGCCCCGTGTTTGGTTGGGCCCGCGCCGCGTGGTTCGGCGGTATTTTTGAGGGAGGAACGCAGGAACGCTAACGCACCGAACGAAAAAAAAAAAAATTGAGGAACGCTATTCCTGGAACGCACTAACCGCGGCCGGAGGAACGCAGGAACGCTAACGCACTACCGAAAATCGAGGAACGCGCCCAGCTCTGCTAAATACGCACAAGATTGAAATCTTGTACGTAAATGCGCACAAAATTATCGCAACATTGCGATAATCTTGACCTGACTTTGGATCACAGATGCAAAGAAATAATCCTGTTTCAGCGAGTTATTTGATCTGGTACCCTATTGTCAAACACCGAGTTTGAAACTACCCAGTAAAAAATACCATTAGAAATTACCAAATGGTTCCAAATGGGAAAAACCATTTGACTTATTGAACACTTTTCCAAATGGTTCCAAAGAGGTTCCATTTGAAATGTGTCCAATTGGCCACCAATTGGTACCAATTGGAACCATTTCATGACCATTTGAAATGGATCCAATTGTTCACCAATTGGTACCAGTTGGACACATTTCAAATGGTCATGAAATGGTTCCAATTGGTACCAATTGGTGGCCAATTGGACACATTTCAAATGGAACCTCTTTGGAACCATTTGGAAAAGTGTTCAATAAGTCAAATGGTTTTTCCCATTTGGAACCATTTGGTAATTTCAAATGGTATTTTTTACTGGGCAGCTGGATTACCATTTGAAGATCCTTTTGAAGTCCATGCATTTCATCCACAAAATAACAAACTGCACCGTGAATTATTTTTATTGTTTTACTCTGCAAGCATATACATTTTCATCAGTACGTACCTACCAACATTAGACATTAACCACACATGGACATTGTTTGGTCAACACCACATCGATGAGGCGATTGCTATGAAAATCAAGAACAGAATTACAATGTAGTTATATACACTGGGCCATACGTAGGCACTATTCCACATAGGCAAAATGAACGACGTGATACAATGTCATTCCGATCGGTGATACTATCTGTTGTTCTGACAGATAGATTTCTTAATCTTCCGTGGCGATCATAATTTTCAGAAGTCAGAACGTAGCTATAATGCAGGCATGCAGCCCATCTGGACCCGTGTAGAACCGGTAGACTGCGTCTGTTCCGTGCAAGTTCGTGCCTGCAACAGTACAGGACAGCACGGGTTATTGGGCGATGGGATCAAATTAATTACCACATTTGTCAAATATCACAATATAATAACTTTAAGCTCATGCAACTTGCAATGTCATTTAGGCAGCCTGACCACAACAAATATAGCACTGAAAATTTTCTACGGGCAAAATAAATTGTGATCGCAAATTTTAAGCATCTTTCTCACCTCTGTTAAACTTAAAAAGATGTCAAATGCAACCGAATTTATTCAAATAACTATTTTCAGTATTTGCAGTCGACTAAAACGAATATCGCATACGGGCATACAGAGGCACAAGAAAAGTCACTCACCAGCCGCGTGATTCTGCTCAGCTCTTCCTCTTACAGCAGGACTGGGTCGGCCGCGGGTAGTCCGCGGGCCCAACGAACGCGAAACCCGGTGGCGCGCGGGCCGGCCGGCCGACGCCGCCGCCCGATTTGAACTGTGGCGCCCCGCCGGCGCGGCGGCCGGCCGCCGCCAACGGTCGGGCGCCGCCAGCGTAGGCACACAGAGAAAAAGTAGTGCTGTTTAAAGGGACCCTCCCACCTTCAAAAAAGTTAATGAATTGGCATAAAAGTGATGTAGCGTGAATCACAAAGAGCGAAAATGAATATCTACCAAATTTTACCGGAAAATATTCACCCGTTTTCGAGATATAAGACTTTTATTTTTGTTTACTTTTTGGGAAATCCGCCGTTTCTATGACGTCACATAAAGGTTTTCTTTACGTCGGCATTTGGAAGCAATAGTTTGGTATCAAAGTGCGACAAATATTGCGCGAATGATGCGTTTATCTTATCAAGGTCAATATATGATGGCCAATAAAGGATTCCAGGACAATTCTTATGGCATTTCTTCGTATCGCAATTCTTCGTCTGGAAATCTTCGTCAGGGCATTTATTCGTACCTATC